CAGGAATTGGGCATCTAAAACTTCTATTCTCTTGCTGTAATCCCAGGCTTATCTACACTTAAACCCCCAATTCCATTGCAACTCGGAATATTAATTATTGCATTATTAAATTCTATATCCTGGAAGGTTAATATAAAAGCAATGAAACAGCAAAACAGTTGCATTGTTTGTAATAGTTTACACAGAGTCAAAATCCCTCATACATTGTTGAAACATAACAGGGGATGACAGGAACATGACCATGGTGTTTCCAGTTAGAAAGCAGCAAGATGTAGGCACAGAAGTTGTATTTTCATAGTAAAAAATTATCCAGGATTCACAGACCTGGATTTTTACTATTATTACAGAAACAGGTAGTTTAAAATAGGATGAGGATCAGAAAAGCATGTTCAAAACTAGGTCGGTGAAGATCTGCTGAACAACAGCAAGCGAAATCCAGTGTTTAATTTTTCCCTTCTCAAAAGGCCCCGACAACACACTCCCGGAGAGCTGCGTTCTAACGCAAGCAACTGCTGCCATGAAAGAAACAGAAACAGACTTGGGGCATTACTGTTTCCAGCTGCAGCTGAGAGACCCGTCCAGCAGCGAGGATGGCTGTGCTGGGACATACACCACCAGCAGTATGTCACCAGGAACACTTGCCCCGACACTCCTATCGAAAAGGGATCCACTTACACCGTCCAACCACAAGCATCAAAGAAACACAGGGAGCGGCACAAGGACAGCACGGCACGCTGGTGTAGGACTGTGCTAGAAAGCCCAGTGTGAAACACTCCTGAACACACTCTGGGCACTCATTTCAGCTGGGGCTGCTGCAGCCTCACTCCTATTCAGTAAGCTTGTCGGCTTCCAAACGCCTTAGTTAAGTGCCAAAGGCAACTGGATGTTACCTTGCGAATACACCACAAGTACAAAAAATGATTTCAGATAAACTCTTTCACGGAGTGCAAGGATGAATAAGCTTAAGCAGGATAAGTAAGAATAAATTGGACAGGAACAAAACTCTTCTTCATTCCAGCAACATTTGAAACATTCATGAACTTCCTTCTCTGGCTTCTTCAACCTAAGACAATGCTTTCTTGCATGTGGGCAGGCCGGCTGAATTTCACCCCAACCACACTGCAAACAAACACCCCCAGGTCATTAAGAACAGTTATAAAACCCACCGTTTCAGGGCACAATCCAACTTACGATGGGATTCAGCCTGCCAGAGGCTGTACGCTTTCCTGGGAGGTGTGGGACACCAGGCACAGCCAGCCACACCCCCTCAGGAGAGGTACCACTGACCTGTTTTGGTGATGGAAGGTTGGGCTGAGGCAGGAAAGGGGGAAAGCTCTGTGAGCATAATCTCTGTTTCAAATCTAGTTCTGCTGTAAAAACAGTTCCCGTACAGAAGCTGCCCATTGCACAGATGAAATACCATTTTTACTTTGCTAGCACCATGAGTCACCATCCATATTACAAAACTGCTTCATGAATCACGCAATTCTTGCGGATTAAACTGTGGCTACTGCTGTCACACAAAAAGAGAAAAAGTAATCCACAACCGAGGAAACCTACAGCAGGTTTCCAGTAGGACAATGCCCAACTCCCAATCTATTACCAAGCTGTTTGCATTCCTAGTTACTACAGAAAGGCACAAGTAAGGTCCTTTACTGTAAAAAAGCTCCCAATGGCACACAGTAAAACACAGAGCGTGGCTGGATTCTGCAACCACAACTTTCTTGCAGAAGACAAAGCCTGCTTATTTAAATTAAACAGTAAAAAAAAAAAAAAAGAAGTGCCCAAACATACCCATTCAGAGGTCCTCCGTCATTGACTACGTTTAGGTGGGCCAGCTGCCTCTTCAGGTGAAGTTTGTAGCTTGCGTTAATTCTTAAAAACAACGTCTAGAAGAAACCACAGAACCAGAGTAAGGAACCATCCCCATGCTTGCATCACTGCCTACAGAGAGGAAATACGTCGCAAACACCTTCAGTCACTAACCTTCAGTTTTGTTTTTGCAATTCATGTGATTTTCCCTTCTGCCAATCCTTTGGCCTGCTAATCTTTCCAGCCACATACAATATATAACATACAGGACAGTATACACCCTCACTTATTTGTTACATGTTGCACTCAGAGGTACATCCTCACTTGTTATGTGTTGCAATTAGAGGACACATTATTTGGAGCATGAATTTTTCTTCCCTGTTGTCTGAAGCATCTAGCAACTTGTATTAAGCCCAGAAGATTACAAATCTTTTTCCTATACTATAACTACTTAAAGTCTTTTTTTCCAAGAGAAAAAGTGAAAAAAATTCTGAAGGGACCATTTAATTTAGTGCAAAAAGAGAAACTACAAGTGTATTCAGCGACTGCATCAGTCCTTTCTGTCCTTAGATTTACAACTCTGCAGTAGCAATAACTGCAGCAAAATACTGAAAAAGCACATCTGGTACAATTTGGCTGCATAATACATTTAGGGACCTTTGGAAGCCACTAAGTTTGAGGAGCATTACAGAAGAATTCCCTAAAAGGGCTATACTCAAGCCCCAGGGTGTTGCCACGTGCGCAGAATTTCAGCACTAATTCCTGAATTGAAGATCCACCTCTCTAGATATTAAAATGAAGCTCAAAATGCTGGAATCAGTCAGTTCTTTTTGTGTGTCTCATCGTTCCCCCTGCACATCCAAACGCTTACTTCAGTTCAGACCGAGCTGTCTGCGTGACTGCTGCCAACCCCTTTAATGTGTGGGTTTCGCAAAGACTCAAAAAAGAATTTTTTGTCCCCTAGATAAAGCAGAAGTCTCTCTTGTTACTGAGTTCATGTGCATTTGTAAGTGAGGTGTCGCATGAATCTCAAAAATAACATTCACCTGAGTTTGCTCATCAGGAAGGAGATCATATATAGCTTCATGCATCTTTGCCATTTGCTTGCAGATATTCCTGAAGCATGCCGAAGGAACAGGAGCTTTCACTTCATACTGGAAATAAAACCAAAACCAGTTATTCCTTTCTGCCACCTTAAAACAGTTTATAGAAGAGAATTTCCAACAGCCATCCGAAGCTCTGCATTGCTAATGATGTCATGAATCAAGGCTCATTTAGCATATCACAAATTAAAATGGCTGCTGGGCATGATCTGATTCAGCCAAGGACTAAAATCATACAATCTTTCTTTATGAGCAAGCAGTAACATTCAAACCAGTACAAACTCTGAGGATTTCCCAAATTCATCTATTCATCTCTGTTAGTTTGAATTGCTTCTCTTCGCTCATTACTCTTTGCTGGTTTCCATTACCCTATGAATTACAGATGCCGAGAGAATAACCACTGTGCCAGCTACACAGATGCATGCTATGTGGCCTGCTAGCTGGTCCTCTCCTTCAGATTAGTGCGAGTCAGTGACAGACAAGCAATTCTACCTCTGATGAATATGCCCCTCAAGTACTTCAGGAGAGAAAACTGCTTCTCTAAGATCACATATATCCACATTTCTGAAGAAACAAGGAAAGGAAAGCATAAGAAATGGAAGCCACTGAAAATTCAATACTGGCCATAAAACCACGAAAACCAAACAAAAACCCCACAAAAACATTGCAGAAATAGCTTGGAAAACAAAGCAGAAAACATCCCTTCTTTCAGTGACTGAGATCAAGAAACAAGACGCTGGAAACCACCAGGTGGCAAGAGACTTATTACAAAGGGAACAAAACTCTTATGTCCCCATCCCGGATAGGGAAGATTTGAATGTGATTTTGGAAGCACTTTGAAAAACTGTCCTAGGAACAGTGAAGCCAGCTCTTCAATTCCTAGTGAAAAGCCTGTGCTAGCACAGGCCTGCATTAAACACTGGTAGGTTGCCTTCGGTATGGTGATACTTCCCCACAGAGCCTTGCACAATTCGGTGGAAGAGCTGAATCATTATAACTAAATTATTTACAAACAGATGGGAGCAGATGCTCTCTTGTATGCTAGCCTGAATTGTGAAAGAGAACAAAGAATACCTAAGTGTGAGAGAAAAAAAAGAAACGGGGAGTTTTGGGAAAGTCTTTACAGAAAAGCCAAACCGATGACCTAATTTTGACAGAAGTAGCAGAAAAATAGTGCTTACTGCTCCAGGAGCCCTGCTCCCTGCATGGGACAACCACACAGCATGCAGGATTGTGCCTCAAGACATGAGAGTTAGGCAACAAATGATTTACAATTTACCGGTATGCTGTAAAGCCAAAGGGCACTGGCAAGCTGCAGCAATGGCTCTTGCATGACTACAGACAAATCAGACTCTTCATTGTGACGGGGGAAAAGCAACAGCACCAGAAAGGAACATGAGCTCCAGCCCTGCAAGGTGCTGGCCATTTTTATCTCCAGCTAAGGTCAACAGCGTGTAATACCATGAGGGATCAGACAAAAATTTACTGCTCTTCTGTCCAAACAGTCACAAGACAGCAAGCTCCAAGAGAAGCTAAGAACTCATACTGGATTTTTTCCACAAACATTTATCCCTTTTTAAAAACATCTTTTTCACTTGTTAATTATAGCTGTTAAATACCCCTGTTCCTGTTTTATCTCCCTGCCAAAGTTAATAGACACATGCTGCGAACTGTCCGTGCTGTTGTGAGATGCCCCACTGAGTGCACGGCATCATCACGGTGGCACTGTGTGAACACAGCTCCTGTTCCACAAAGCTCCCAGAGGGAGCAAGGCCTGGAAATGCAAAAGTAACTTGTCCACATTACCCAAGTGCCAGGTCTACGTCCCTTCTACTGGACCAAACCGTTTTGTCTCCTACAAAGCAGGTTTCTAGACCACGCAGTATTTGTTTTAAAAGCATGCTGGGACACGCACTGCTCTGAAACTTGCTTGCCTACTCATTCAGATTTACACACTTTAAAGCAGGTGACCACTTTATCCACAAGGCACTGAAATATTTAGACTCTCACAAAAACATACAAAACAAAGAACACACTGACATGGTTGCACTGACATGGCAATTTGCAAATTTCCTGTTTTTATGTTCTTCACAGCATTCAGTGCCAAGATTTCATTATTTCAGGAACAAGATGAGCCAAATTATGGGGTATGTTAGGAACGGAGGCAAATCAACACATGGTCTCCTTTTCTCCTGTACTCTCTGGGTTGCATTCATGTGAGCCAGGCACTCTCACTCAAGCCTTTAAGAGCTCTAAAGAACAGGAATATTCTCAGTTTATATCTTGTGCCAGCTCACAAGAGGAGAGTGGCCTGTAAAGATGGAAGGACAGTAAGGGATGGATACTTACTTACTACCATTAAGAACATAAACCATGCTACTGGTTTGTTGTGGGCTAACTTGTTTAGAATCAATAACCAAAACTCTTGCACTTGTCTTTTATTTTCAAGAGCTAAGAGGTAGAGTGACCAAAAAGCCACGTTACTTCATACAACAGGTATTTTTATGCAGGGCAAAAAACCAAAAAAGCAGCAGACCACTATTTGGATCTTTAGAAAAGGGCATAAACATGTTTTAAAAAGTGTAAACACAACAGGGGGCAGGGAATCCTAATTTAACTGCTTGGGCTTTTTTTCCCCCTAAGTTTAAGTAACACTATTTGATAGCCCAAGGAAACAGATGAAAAGAAAAACCACAACATAAAATAAACAATAAAACAATAGAAACAGCAAGGAAGACAGAAGTGTCGCCTGTTAGAGCTGCCTCACTGCAGCCCCCATTCGCCTGTCCCCAAACTATGCTCCACCAGGGAGATTCTGCGTTTCTCATGAGCTCCTATGAGAAAGAGGTTCGCCCAGGCCAATCAATCAAATCCGTCAGTAAAGAATTAATTTTTTTCTCTCATGAAACAGCTTCTTTTAAGAGCACAAGATCCAAAGCAAAACACTAAGCTTTAAAACCTCATGTACTTTATCCATCAGATCTGTGGGCCCAACAGGTCCCGTCTTGGGGCAGCCTCTTTCAGTGTATTCTGCCTCGAGATGAGTCAGAGTGAGTGGATCCAGCCCAGGACCAACCTGTTCCACTGATGAGTCTTCGAAAACCAAAAAACACTAAGAGCACTTCATGAGACAGCTATTAGCGTTGCTACACAGCAGAAACTGCTAAGCACAGACCTCTAGCCCCAAGGCCTGCAGCCCAATAGAAGAGCTGGTCCTTCCCCTCCAAAAACTCTTCCTCCTCAGCAGTTTTTTGCTGTTTCCTAGCTGCAGGAAATTATGCGCTCCCCACTTCCAAAGAGGCACCATCAGGAAGAGCAGGAAATGGGAACTGGGTCAGCCTGACTCCAGACAAGAGCTGTCAGTGGATAAAACTGCCGAGGGTAGGAGAGCACTTCAGTTTCTAAACAGCAGAGCATCTGCACCAGCCAAAGCATTTCTGTTACTGCTGAAGGACTAAATGAACAATTTTTTTTGTGGGGGTGAAGGCAAACAATACCCAGGTGGCAAACGTTAAGACAAAACACATTCACAAGTACAGCACAAAGGTTTGTGTTTATACAGTTTAAAGAAGGTCAAACAATTCCTGATTAGGAAAGTTTAAGACTCCATTTGAAACATCTAGACTGTATACAATGAGACCTCCAATTGCAATTTAGAGGGTATAATTATTTCCATAAATCATTACCTTGGATAACAGTTTGTCAAATAAGCTATCCATTATGGCAACAAGCTTTGCTGAAATTTCAGCTATGTGGTCGTGATAATCCTGTAATGGAAGAAAGCAGGTTTTATTTACTATCTAATGGCATTCATATTCTTCAGAGCACAGTTGAAAAGCAGAACTTTGCATTTAATTAGGAAATGCCAAAAGAGTTACCTTTGTAATGTGGTCAAAATGCCTGAGCATGCTAAACTGCTTCGGCTGCAGTCGAGCTTCAAAATGAGCCCTGATAATAGGAATGTAGTGTACGATTAGCTGTAGGCAACGTGAAGAAAGGGCTGGAAATCCAGAAGAGAGAGAGGGAAAGAAAAAAATAATTATTACACAAGAAGAGTAATTTTGTATAGACTGTATCTCCTTTGAGATACATAACAGATCTGACACAATTTAACAAAAAATTAATTTAAAAAAAAAAAAAAACACCCCGAAAAAAAAGGATGTAAGCATTTGTTTCCACTGGGAAACCCCACACAGTGAAGATCCCAGACTAGTACCTGGCTATTCACACTCACCTTCTGTAAGATACGGGATAAGGTACTAATTTTACAAGAGGCTTTAAGTCTCTACTTGACATTCTGAGCCCTGAGCACACGCAGACATCAGAGAGATCTCAAAAGACCTGACTTATGAGCTACCTAAGCTTGGCAGCCACATTCTCAAGGCATCAATATTTCTTCTGTGGGAAGTGTGCATAAACACTCTGCCCTGCCAATGCTGAGCTGCCCAGAGCCAGCTCCTGCCTGTGGTGCCGGCAGGATTCCTAAAACTGAGCTTCTCCTGTGCCCACCAGGGCCTGAGCTGGCAGCAGAACACACAGTGGTGCCAGAGTGGTCACCACATCGGCTAAGCCTTCTGGAGCAAAGACCTGACCCAGCTTTTCTCTGCTCACTTGTGTCTGCTCCAATACTATGGCCCACGGCCCCTTGGCGGGAAGCCTCTCAACCCATCCTCCTCAAGCTATTCCCTTTTTAAAAGGGAAATGCAGACTGGTAATCAGGACACCCTGAAACATGGGAACTGCCAGTTCCAACACCTGCTTCAACCCATCAACCAAAGGGTTGAACCTTAATTTCAGGAGATAGTTTAAAACTGGGGATCTTGAGCAGCACATCAGACTTTTCTGTAGCATGGAACTGGGCACCTAGTTCTCCCCAGCTTTTCAGAACAGCTAAAGCAGTCCAGGTGAGTAAGTTGGGGCTGGCAATTCAGCTAAACAGCTGCATGCTGAAAATGAGAAACTCTAAAGCCCAAATCATAATTTGGATTCAGCACACAGACACAGTTACCTGACTGCGCCGGGACACTCAGCCACGTGAAGACTATCTATTTGATTCAAAGCCACCCACAGAAATCATTTCGCGCATTACTGACATGTGGTTATAGACCGCAGGAGCTGTATGTGGACACAGTGTTACAGGATACAGCACCACAGGGCAGATGGGGTAGCACAGCTCAGTGAAATGCACGGGGAGACACGAGTTTGGCTGCATTCCTCTACCTACATACCTCCAATCTTGAGATCTGAACACTAAGCCGCTCCCAAGCATGGCAGTCACCACTGAAAAAGTAACTACACCTTCCCCCAGTCAAAACATTTTCATGGAAAACTTGCTAGCCTGTGTATTTGTTCTTACGTTTCCTTCATGTAACACAGTGAAACTTTACATTTAGGAATTTGATGGATTTTAGTGCACCCCTTAATCAGACAATTCACTAGCTTTTATACATGTTTTACTCCCTAACCAGCAAGGTTTTATGTCACCCTCTGTGTTCCATGCATGGCAGCACAACACAAACATAGCTTATCATAAATGTTTAGGGTTTTTTTGTGGGTTTTTTTTTTTAACAGGCAGGAGAACAAGCTTTGACATTTTAAATATAGAAATCCATACCTAGGTTTTTTGTAGTGATTGTTTTCAAACCAACAACTTGTAATGCTCCAGCTCCAAGTACTAGCTGGCAACTTCTAGAGTTGAAATACTGTGAGAAAGAAAAAGATAGTGAAAAATTATGCTGACTCTTTAAGAACTACACATAACCAGAGCTTAGAAATACCATCAACAGAATTCTGCAAGATTAAACAGATTATTACAGAATAAGTGAAGGCCAGTACCAGAATTCCACATACTCCTTGCTACAAGAGGAGTATGTTAACTACAGAGGACTGTTAACTAGTAAGACAAAAGGAACTTTTTCACCACTTTCAGTAGTCACTGGCCCATAGTATTTTTTTGACTCAGCTTATGCTAAAGCACTCAAGGCAGTGTTTCAGCAGAGGGAAGCAGAAACACTGTTATAAAAACACAGCTGCTCAGTGATTTCAATTCAGTGACTAATTTCTGCTTCTCTATGAGACCTTTGGGTGAACCTTCTCTTAGTGTGAAAGTAGCAAGTCAGACTTGCTGCAGACTAGCTATGTTCAGCCTTACTTTGAAAGCCATACCCAAGAATGGCTTTATACTAGAAATCTATAAAATGTACTTCTCAAACCAGGGCCTTGGGTGGAGTGAAGAGTAAGGATCTCACTAGTTTTGCTAAGTAGAGGAGACAAGTATAATATCAGAACAGAAAATATCAAAAGACCAAGTTTCTGCTCTGGCACTAGACCCTCCCCACTGCTGATGTTAAAGAAAACTTGAAAGCACTCAAACTCACTGCTGCTGAGGTGGCTGAATCTGTGTTTGTAACACTATAAAATACCAAGATTAAGAAATGATGCACAGAAGATGTTAGGCCATGCCAAAGAACAATTCTGTAGGAATTCCAGGTATAGTGCACGGCTCATGACTTGATCTTCCGAACTTAGTTCCAGGAGGAAAGAAGTTATCATTAAATGCACACAGGCCAGCAGGGTCTCTGGGCAGTAAGACAGTTCCTGTTAGGGTATTCTGTCTTATTTTGGAATTCTGCTCCACCACCCAGCTTGAGACACCAGATGTTCTAGACTGGCTTGGGTGATGCAGTAGAGACAGAGGAGCTGTTGCTCTGAATGGAGAGCAGAAGTCCCAGGGCTCATGTTTGAACAAAATTGTCCTGTTGACACTGGGGTGGAAATTGGGAGGCAAAACCTGCAGAGAGCTGACCCTTTCTCTTGCACCTAAAGAAATTCACAAGACATTGTGACAAGGTTGCCCTGCAGCTTGTGTCTGCAACACAGCGAGTTTCCCTCACAATACAGCTCCTTTTTTTGAGGGCCACAATCCTGCTTCACAGGTCTTGCTTCACGACACAACAAACCCAAAATTTCAAACCTCCTTGAGTAAAAATAGGAAACAATTTTTCTGGCTATTGCCTGGAGTTAGTCATGAAACTCAGGACAGAGAGGATATGCCGTGAACACCACATACCCACTCTGGGCTTCCAGAGTGGGGTATCCAGGGCCAGGAAAGAAACCCAGACCTAACGCCACAACTGAACCCCCAACCTGAGAGAGGCATAATCTACTCTGCTCTCAGACAGAAGTCAGGATCTGAAACTGTCTGACATTCACTTCCACTCCTCCTCCTGATAAGCAAGACCTTTTCTTATGCACCCTGGTGGACTTTAGAAGTAGATCCACTGAGCCAAAGACAGATACATCCTACACAGCCTAAGCTCCTCTGAGGTATTTAGCTCAGGTTAGCACCAACTCATTGACTGCGTGGCAGACCATTAAAAACATGCTCTATAAAGGATAGACACTCATACTCCCTCCCTGCCTTTTGTAGATATTACTGTTACCAGATGGCCTGTTGCAGACAAAGCAGCGAACTAGTAGCATGCCTGAAATATCAAAAGAGCAATACCCCCTCCTTGTGACTGCTTGAAGGAAAGCATTTCTGTGTTCAACCATGGCTGCCAGCGTTCTCTCGTCTGTACCAGCTAAACAACTCCAGTAATTATGATTGTGTTTTTGTTCATGCACAGGGGTTATTTCACTCTGGTTGCAGCTGAAGTCCAAAATGGCCTGGAATTTCATTACCTGGGAACACTTTGCAGCTGCTGTCACAATAAAGACTAGCGCTCTCTACCTTCAAAGCTTGCTAGCTCTGACAGCTGTCAAACAAAAAAGTGTAGTGACTTGCAAGGACACCCTGAGTGGCTCTTATTTTGTTCGAAGTATAATAAATGAGCTTTTGTTTTTGCTAGCTGCTCTTGTCATCTCTCCAATTGACGGCACCTTGCTGCCAGACATACAATAATTAAACTGCACGTGATGTTTGAATATCAAGGAATAAAACACAAATCACAGAGCTAGAACAAGATATGGTAGGGAGAGAGAAGTAACGCAGAGATGCAAGTCTGGCCAAGTTTGAGGCATCTGCTGCTATTCTGCCTGCCTGCGAAAAGGTGCTGCAAGACTTGAGTGAAGCAGCAGCTCGAGAAAGAGAGGTGAAGAGGGGTATCCCCATTCCAAGACTGACTGATTTGCCTCGGATAGTGCTTTCAAAGGGGAAGGTTTGTGGATGAATCTGAACGATGACTGCAGGGAGGAGTGTTCCTGCATCTGGTTATTCAGGTAAGAACTACCAACGGGAAGATTATTTGAAGGTCCATCTCCTAGGGTGTGTTTCCCCTCCCCTGTGTCCCACCTTATGTAAAATATACTTTTGGAGAGTAGAATCTCTTCGTCTTTTATTGATTATGCTTATGTTCAGAACTCTAATACCTGATATAACCTTTGTGGTCAAAGACACAAGTGAAGACCTTGAAGCAAATTAACTGCTAGACTTTAATATATATATACACACACACATATACACACGACAGTTTTAAGGTGCATTCATGTACTCCTTTTATTATTGTTTACTTGTATTACCTTGCAATATCTGTGCATAACCAGCTTTCCTCTTCTCTAGTGAGAAATAAATGACAAAAGGTCCTGGTCTTTCATCATCTTTTTTACAACAGAAGCTTCATCCCATACTATTTTTCATGCTTCTACTGACTATACCTCTACTGACTTGTAAAAACAAAGGGACTTGTTTCCATCCTGAATATAGAGATATATATATATCTGTGGCACCTGGGATCAAATTGCTTCTTCTTCAGCAGCATTAATCCTACACCCAGCCTGAAGGACAAGCAGCTATGACAAACACTACTAGATGTGATTTCCAATATTCCAGGTGAACAAGAGGAAAGACAGCCTTCCCAAAGTTAATTCACACAGCAAATGGCATCTTTAACACCCTTAGCTTAAAAGGCTACCTTATGGCACAGTAACAAATGCAATCATTTCTAGACAATTTATATTATTTATATGAAATCACAAAAGCACATGAAGCATTACAGAGAGTAAGACATGTTATCTGCCTTCAACAGCTCTGATTAGCACAGATAGTAATTTTGGAGTCATACCTTCAGTAAATCAGACAGGCGGGTAAGCATGTCAGTGGTGATGGAAGGAATGTTATCCACACACTGGCAGTACTCAAGGATTATTCTTATTAACAGCAATACTGTCCTACAAGAGAGGAAACAGCCAAGTATGTCATCTCAGTGCACAGAAGATGCTGAAAAATCAAAAACAGGCCAGTCACGTTGATAGAAAGCTACCTAATGCTAGACTTTATAGCATTAAATAAACCCACTAACTGATCTGAAGTAGAAGTAAAACATAAAAGAAGATATACATAAAGATGGTTATAAAGAATACCCATTCCACAGGGTGGCATGTGAAGTACTTAACATATATGAGAGAATATCTCTAACATTCATTGGTATAACTTTTTAATCTCCAAAAAAGCTACTGTGGAACTAGAAGTCTCCACGTAGATGTTTGCACAGGAAAAAGTCCAAAGCTACTTTCTTATACTGCTGTATAATTCTGGCCAACTTTGAGCAAGTATAAAAATCCACACAATGTAGACAACCAACAACCACCACTGAAAAGGATGTAATGAATGCTAAGGAGTCACAAACAGAGAAGGCAGCTGTGAAGAAACAGCACCAAATATTCAAATATGCTCAAGACCTGTGACTTCTGCTGAATTCAGGAAGCACTGGAGAATTTGGGAGCTATTGGATGGAATTAAGAAGGCTCCACAAAGAGCAGGTATGATCCTTTGAATTCAAATACACAGAAGGTAGGAAAACTAAGGCAAGATCAAATGTTCAGAGCAGATACTCTAACATTTCAAAAAGTTAAATCTCTTTCTTTCTTTAGGCTGTAGACTGCAGAAAGATGATGAACAATGAACTGAAAATAAAAACCTGGAGAATTTTGGGGGAACATCTAGGCTTTTTTTCATGAATACATTTTATTTAAGTAAAATGAAACTGTATGTAGAAGTGTGTATAACTGAAGTATTTGCATCAACATGAAGCTGACAATTGCTTCACGGAGCTACATATAACAAGTTTCGAATGAGCAGAGATGAATTATCAAACACATCATCTATTAGGTAAATTTTATGCTTTAAAGCATGTTCAAATGCTCCTACTCAACCTGAAATGCTCTTTCGCAGTAGTATCAGTTGGCTGGCACAGAAGTTCTGAGCCATCAGCTTCTGTTTCTAATTGAACAATGATGCATCATCATGAAGCAACTCATAAAATGACAACTGGTCAAAGACATTATGTAAATCAGAACTTTTACGTTTGGGATAGATTGATGTTAGGACTCTGGGGAGTGAGATCTTCCAGGTTTTACTCCGTCCCCAAAACCATTCTTATGCATTTTTAATGCTTAAGCCTCACAACCTTTGGAAACGCAGCATGCTTTTAAATGAAAGAAGTATGCGAGTCATCATATATTTTAAAATGTCTTTGATATAACCAGCTTTAAGAAACTATTTTCCAATCCAAAGCAATCAGGATACCAAGAAACAGCGTATGCAACTTAAGATAGCCCATATCTTATTTCTTATTCAGAATAAGATAAGCAATCATTCAGTAGTGGACTCATATTTTGGGGTTGTTTAGCCTGCAGAAGAGAAGGTTCTGGGGAGACCTTATTGCAGCCATTCAGTACTTAAAGGGGGCTTGTAAGAAAGATGGGGACAGACTTTTTAGCAGGGCCTGTAGCGATAGGACAAGGGGCAATGGTTTTAAACTAAAGGAGGGTAGATTCAAACTAGACGTAAGGAAGAAATTTTTTACAATGAGGATGGTGAAACACTGGCACAGGTTGCCCAGAGAGGTGGTAGATGCCCCATCCCTGGAAACATTCAAGGTCAGGTTGGATGGGGCTCTGAGCAACCTGACTAGTTGAAGGTGTCCCTGCTCACTGCAGGAGGGTTGGACTAGATGACCTTTAAAGGTTCCTTCCAACTCAAACTATTCTATCATTGTACGGTTTTGCCAGAGATAACCTATATTGCAAGAAATAACAAGTGTGCTATGAAGACAAACCTGTATTTTCATGACTCTGTTTTCATGAAATAGCTGGAAGAAAAACATACTCAAATGAAACCATAAATTTCAGCCTAGGCATTCAGAAAAGAAACAGCATTTTCATGTACAGAAGAGCTTGCAACGTTTTATAACTGTTTGGGAACTAAGGTGAAACCAGTCTGTGGAAGGAGAGGGCTTTTTTTATTTAAATAAGATTGCTAAAGCTGTTAGTATTCATCACAGTTCTTCTCAAAAGTTCTTGCCAACTAACCCACTGCTAAGAGAAAAGAGTGCATCTTACCCAACTGTTGCATATTTTTGTCCTTCAACAATAAGGAATTCCGTTGGCTTTCTTTCTTCAGTAGCTAGTCATTTTAGCAAGAAAGGAGAAGAGGTGAGTTGAACTAAAAACAAGTACAAAAAAATGCTAGTGTCTAAAAAAATTTAGTGTTCACTTGCTAAGGCTTGGAAAAAAAAAACCCACAATCAATCTTTGGAGCACTGCTGTCACTTACAATATGTATTATATAGTTGGTCACCCGTTATTACAACCCATAAAGTTACTTTATTATCTGCTGGGATTTTAGATCAAAAATCCCCCAAAGTCCCACAGTCATTATGGACTTAGAAACTTCAAATACAACAGGTTACAAATAGAAGAAGAAAAGCAGAAATAGTCACTACATTTTCTACTATACATTCTCAAATGATTTGCTGTGTATATTAATATTTTAGCTTCAGACTACTACTTCCTCCGGCTTTGTAGTAGAAGCTCTTACTGATGCAGTTTTTTGTGCTAAATTTGATGCTGCCAGTTTCCTATCTTCTTGAAGGAAGCTGCAAGAGCTTATTTTAAAAGCAATGGTCGATGAGCATATTTTGGTGTCATGTTCCACAACTGGAGCGATTATTGCCTAATACGCTCTCTGTATCTGCTGTATTCCTTTTGGGGGGTTGGGGTTTCTCCACCATGGCATTACTGTATTTTCTTCCTTCTCATCTATTGCCATTTTCCTTCCCCTCCATGTATGTTTTCTTCCTCTTCTAGCTTTTCACACACATGCATCACTGCAATATTGGATGAGTGTCCCCACAAGGCAAGAACACATTATGCACTCCCATTTTGCACATGGGGACATGGGGCATGAGGAAAAAAAAGTGACTTGTCTGAGGTCAAATGGGGTTTCTGTGGCAAGGTAAATAATTTAATGTACATGAGTTTTCACTTCCATGAGCAGCCACATAGCATGCTGCCTTCATCTGAACAACTGGCAGATGAAGCAGTGCGAAGGAGTACGCTTTGTTTAACACAATGGGGGCTGAGCACACATGCACACTCCTTGGTCCTTTGCAACACTTCAGTGGTATGTTCTAGGGAAAGACTGAATTTCTGCAAAGACTGTAAGCCTCTACACTGGGAACACCTGTATAAAAAAGTAGCTCCCTCCCTGTACTAACACTTAAATGGGTTTTCAAAAAATAAATAAATAATCTCTTAAGGTCAGCACCAGATATTTCAACATCGGTAACAGGAGGGAAAAAAAAAAAAAAGTATCAACTTCTTTCTGATCCCCCCAGAAGACAGCGAGCAAACACAGATCAAGAGTGACACTGGAGTATGTCCATCAACATTCAATAGCAGCATTTGCTGATAATAAATTCAGTTAGCAGTAGGACTGCAAGATACACACCTGCTGGTTTTTTTTCAGGGAGAGAAATTCTGCCATCTGACACTGAATCGACAAGATCCTGAAACTCGGCAGGAACTTCAGCTTGCTTCCAGCGCTCGTTGTCCAAAAGTAGGCTAGTTATAAACACAAAAGAGAGGAGGCTGAGAAAATGAAATGCCTTGTCTTGACACTTCTCCTGCCTGCAATACCATAGAATCAGAACTACAGTAATTTAAAAAAAGCCAGTGGCCCAAAATGTTATGTTATTCATCTTCATTACAAAGAGGTGCCCAACAATTGGCAGTAGCAAAACAGAAAGACACCGTGTTGGCCTGGAGATCTCACAATTTGTTCATTCCATCTATCACAGAGGACAAAAGACTACACTAGGCAATAAAGAGCCCTATGATATCACTGCCACTGAAGTAATGTGTAAATACTGGAATTTTAAGAGCTTTTGATGGATGAGAGGAAAAAGACTTGATGTATGTTACTGGGAAGGCTGTTCCCCAAGTGGTTTTTTGGTTGGTTTGGTTTTTGGTTTGGTTTTTTTTTTTTTTTTAAATTGTTGTTTTCGTTGGAGGTTTTTTGGGTTGGTTTTTTTTGTTGTTCTGGGTTTGGTTTTGGGGTTTTTTTTGAGTTGGGGGGGATGAGGGTGGGGTTTTTTTGTTTGTTTGCTTGTTTTTAAAACGGTTGGAAGTGAATTATCCTGAAGTTACTTCACTCCTGAGACAGAGTAATCCTGCCCTTCAGTGTCACTCTTGCATACTTCCTGTAGCTATTACTGTCCTTTTCGAGGTAACTGTAGAACAATCCAGTTTGAAGAAATTATGAGTCATGTTATGAAAACAGTAGAAGTCTAAACTAATTGAAAGTAATTGGGGTTTAAAACAGTTTTTTCATCTGCTGCTCTTAGGTACAACTGGCTTAGTAGCATTCTGGGCAACAAAAGATTGTGTTTGCCTGGCATATGATTGATAAAATAATTCATGTAAGAACACAAAGATCTTTCTACCCAGAGATACCTTAGTTTTGTCTTCCTCTCCTCATGGAATCTATTCACAAATCTATTGGCTTGACTCTGAAGTGCTCCTCGCAAGGACATACTCTTCCTGCCGCAGATCTGCTCAGTATCTAAGATAAAGCCTTCCATCAAGCGAGAAAGAGCAACAAACTCATTGGAATTCAGCTTCTCTAGGAAGCCGTCCTATAGGCAAAGAAAACCATTGTAAGGGGACATAACACCAAAAAAATTCAGAGAGGTAAAGAAATAACTAGTCAGCATGTCTGAGGGCTACTAGTATTTTAAGAGTTATTAAACCCAACATGGGACAGAGAAGGCAGATTGCAGTGCAAGCAGCTATCTTGTCATAGATATGCATTCTCTGCATGGAGCTTCAAAGACAGCAAGTCAGAATATTGAAAAGGAAAAAAAAAAAAAAAAGTAGCAGAAACCCACATTGCCTTACAATGACATGTTAATGTTTGCATGCTCTGGGCGTTAACATCAAGCGCTTGTGGCAGCAGGAACAGTTACTTAATTTCAATTGAGAATGCCATTTCAGAACTCTTGCTCATTAAACCAGTAACTTGGGAGTAAATTCTCATCAAGGACAAGACACCAGCAGCAGTCTGAGCCAAGCTCCTTACCTTTGCTCTTGCCATGAGGAACTTGACTGAACGATCATGGCAGATATCGGAGGCATTATAAAGTAACTCTTGAATATTGTTTGCTAGCCTGACCAGTTCCAGGTCAGTCAACTTCATGTCATCACTGATCCTACAAATGACAGAACCAGTTGGTTAAGCATCAGTTTATTAAAAACCCCAGTATTTCTGCTCACAGGTTGAAGGAGGAAAGAGCCTTGCAGCAATTATCAAATGCAGACAGTTAATCACCAAAGTCACTTTGTACAGATGGGATCTTCTAGCTGCTGTCAATGTCATGTCAGTCCCTGTAACAAGGAGATGCACAACTGCACATCCCTGTATTTTGTTTTAAATCCACATTCTAATTGCTATTAATGGTCTATGAGAAAATGTGATGTAGCCATTATTAATACAATAAATATTATTAACATTTACTGAGCCAAAATTTGCTCAGTTCCTGTAACGCTTGAACACCACAAGCGTATGATAGACAAAACACAGCATTTTTCTTTCAATGCAAGGATAAGGCCTAAAATAAATACTCTGCACTCCCCACTATCTTAACCTATAGGCTGTCATTTTATTAGCTCTTTAGACTTCAGGCTCCTAAGTTGGTTCGTTTTAAAAAAAAAAACTTTTGTGATTTGTCTACTGTTTTTAGGCTGGCCTGTAGCACAGCTCTGCCGCTCATGTAATTAGTTAAGATAACACCCTTTTGGTCCAGTGCGGCTGCTCAAGGGACTGACAGTATGAGAGGAGAGAAAAAACCTCAAATGCTACAGAGCAACAACTGGGCTAACATTGTTGTAACTGTGTGATTTTGCTAGCCTGCTCCCAAACACAGAGCAGAGGTGCAAAGAAAACCAGAAGAGAGATGAAGCAAGTTCATTTTATAACAAAGTTATATTATTTCCAGCCTCGGAAACAACTTTATTGCTCAAGAACTCTCGCTGGGTGGTATATTTTTAGCAAACTCGGCAATGTGCTCCAGACCAGTTCAGACCCAACCCCCTTCTCCTTCCCTGCTCCTCACTGTAACCCTGGACTCCTCTTCACATTGCATTTCTCTTCCAGTGTACGACGGACGTTTGGACATAGAGAGGACTGAATTGGATTTATGCACAGCATATTTATTTTAAATCTATCTCCTTCAGCCAACATTGTGATTTGAGGGGAAGGTCTCTATCAAAACTGGCAGTTGCTTAAACACACAAGTATAGACACTTGAGTACCAATCAGCTAGAGCAAGCAGGCCACTTGCTATCTTCCATCTTTCAGCAGGGTAACAAGTGGTTTTTCAATTTTGCTTCACAGAACTCTGTATCTAGGCATGCTGACTTTTGAAGTGGCTCATGCCTGAGTCCCACACACACTATGCCTGGTTCTTTTAAAAAGGTAGCTCTGACATCCAGCCATAAATAAGGCATGCATTAAAAGGATGCCAAAAAGGTTACAACTCTGGAGCTTGAGGCACCACAGAGCAGCCCTGCCTATGTTACCAAAGCACTGAGATGGATTTATTTAACCATACAAGTCAAATAGCTGACAATGAACAGCAGATTTTTCTCTAGAATTTATCAAGGTGTATTTCATGAAGCTAGCTTAAAAAAAAATTAAAAAAATAGCCATAGGGAACATGGACAGGGAACAAGATGCTTCTGCCTGCTAAAGGCATGACAATCTGTCTTTCATGTAGGCTAGACTTGCATCTCTCCTGCTCTCTACAGAAGCTGGCTCCCCAGCAGAACAGACGGAGAAGGGGCCCTTTTCTGTAAGAAGTGAAATAATCAGCACCCATACGGCTACACACCAGAGGTGAAAGCGAGTCAAATAAAGGAAACAAAGGTGACCTGGGGACAGTGCAGTCTGATGGCAGTCTCTAGGGGCAATGGTGGAGAGGCATTCCACTTCACTTACCTAGAAAAGCACATTCCTCCAAAGTAATTTTTGCACTGCATCATCAGATACAACCACCTTCACCTAACGCCTCGTTTCTGACATGTTGCAAAGCTGAGACAGGCAGCGCATTTACTTACATCATCTCTACTCCCCCTGGAGTAACAGAAGACGATGTTTGCTCTTTGCTGGATGAGGAATCGGTAGTGCACTCTGGTTCAGAGACTGAATCACTGCTACAGGGCTCACTGTTTGGGGAAGTGTTTCTTTGAGAGGTAGTGTCAGCTGCTACAGGCGGGAGGTCCCCTTCACTGAATGCATCGCTTATAAACATGCCTTCATGAGTCAGGTAAGCCACTTCTGTGTCCACTGTATTGTCTTTAGCAGAGTTCTTTTGTAAGGTGTCCTCCAGGTCTCTGGTTTTTTGGTTCTTGTCTAGAACCAAGAAAACCACGCTACGGATAGTATTTAACGTTGCCTAGAATCAAATATAACTTTTATTACAAAAAAACCCAAAACCCTGTGCCACAAGCTTGCGCTAGAAAGAGATTTTCTTTTACCCACAAAATTAAACTAAATCCTGGCTTTATTTTCTGTTGTGTAATTAGCATTCGGAGGCAGACCCATCCGTCTTTCACGGTAACCAATATCAGATGTTTCCAAGAATGGTGAAAGAAACCTCATTTGGAGCAATCTAACACATACAAAAGTTCTGTCCTAATCCCTAGCAGCCTGAAATGGATGTAATCACGCAACAAGAGGTATTATCTCCTTCGCACTGCTCTCTTTGTTAACAATAATAATTTTTGCCCTGGATGCCGATATTCACATATCCTTTCAATCAAAAGTTTGAACTCTACAAGCAAAACCAACACCTTAAGACTTCAAATGGAAAGTAACTTCATTCCATTTCATGTCTGAACTATGTGAAGCTCTTGGTAAATGAATGTCTTACCTTTATTCTCTTGAGGAAGATGGTAAACTTAGAAAAAATATTCTTCAGTAAATCAAACCACTGAGGAAAATTCATCATCCTCATCTGGTCTGCAAGCCTTAAAAACAGAGCAGTATTCAGTAAACAGCAAATGTTTACTAGCCATGATGCCTCCTGGCACACATGCTTTAAATGGAATTGTAAATATAAGGAACACTGTGTAGACTTTTATCTGGCAAGACAGATATCACCTGAACAACAGTCATGATGCACACAATGTATGCATGTGGAATGGGGAAGGAGGTGTATAAAAATAGATATTAAAAAAATGAAAGCCTTACATTTACCATTTAGTTTTTCCAGGGCATAACGTTCTTTTCCCTGGCATAAGTATGTGATACCAGCAATGGAGTGGGGTTAATAACATTTTCACAAATTATGTGGGAAACCCCCCCTCCCCGAGATTACAAAAAAAAAAAAAATTTTTTTGCAAGTGTTACAAAAGCCATGTTATTAAGCCCATTTTGCTGCACTGCAATGAAACCACTTCTGCTATTAAAGTGCAAGTCAGCTGTTTGTGGCAAAGGGCAGAAAAGTCACCGATAGAACAAAAGTTAAACTCTGTAATGCACAGTTAGGACCCAACTGCAGAATAGTAAACATTGGAGAATGGTGAACAAATACCCAATGTTTCAAAATGACCCTGTGCCCAGTCTTTTCCCAATCTGGGTATGAATCTCATGTAGAGTCTGCCACTCACTCTGCTTTAGCAGCTGGTCTGGTTTTATTATCTTGGGGTAGCCCTTTGCTGAGCCAAACAAATCACAGAGCTACAGAAAAACAGACACTGGCAGAGGGGCCTCTGGAGCTGGGACCTCTGGAAGTGCCTTGTCCAACTCCTGCTCAACACAGGTCCAACTAGATCGGGTTGCTCAAGGTCCTGCACCATCAAACCTTGAATATGTCCCAGGACAGAGATCCCACAGCTTCTCTGGGCTCCTGTTCCAGTGGTTTGACCATCCTCACAAGGAACACATTTTTCCTGAGATTTAACTGGCATTCCTCATCTTCCATCTTGCGCCCATTGCTCCTCATCCTTCCCCTGCACACCTGAGAGGAGCCTGGCTCTGTCTACAGCTCTGCTAGAACGTGCCCATGGGGTAGCTGTGGGCAGTTGTCCCCTGAGTTTCCCCTCCCCACACTGGAGGGGGACCCAGCTCCCTTGACTGCTCCTCCTACACTCCATGCTTCAGCTCCCAACTGGGCCAGTGGCCTCTGCTGGATCTCAACGCCTTTCTTGCTCCTGAACCTCCTGGCTATGCTAACACAGCCCAGGCTGTAGCTGCAAGGACACACTGCTGGTCCATGGCCAACCAGTTCTCCACCAGGACCCCCAGGTCCTGCCCTGCAAAGCTGCTCTGAAGCCAGCCAGCTCCTGCCTCTCCCTCTTGCAAAGGGCTGCTCCTTCCAAGACACAGAACTTGGCATGTGCTGTTGTTGGGCTTTATGAGGTTCCTGCCAGACCATTTCTTGGGTCTGAAGTTGTCTGATCTCCTCTCTGGATAGCTCCTATTCTCATTCATGCAGGAGGTACTGAAACTACTGACACGTTTGAATACAAAATCCCAGATTATGACAACAGGGAATGCCTTCAAGTAGTTAAGGGGTATATGCCTAAACACAGTAGTTTATGCTTCATGCAATGACATGCACAGAATTTCAGTATTTATTTTAAAGGTAAGTTTAATGTAAGGTAACATTAGGGTCCGAATGAGAAGGGGAATATGCAATATTCTCAGAGAGGCAGACAGAAGCAGAGGCTTAAGGTGAGAGAGAAGGATAATCCTTAATTACAGGGAAATTTAGGCACAAATTAGAATGGTAAACTTATCTATGCTAAAAAACTCCATCTCCTATCCCCCCCCACCACCAAAAAAAAAAAAAATCTGGCTGTATACTTACTTAACAACCACTTCTGTATCTATTTCTTCTATCTGCGATACCGTATTAACCACACACTGTCAAATTTAAAGGGGAAAAAACAAAACAAAAAAGATCTTAGCTTCCTTCTAACCGCTGCTGAGTTTCATAATACACACAATGATCCTCAAGTTAAATAAGAAAACATAAAACAAAGGAAAGACATATTTGTATCATTTAACAACATGTTTCTCCAAAAACAAACAAACCCCCCAAAAGAACCCCCCAACACTGCC